GCCCCGGTGTCCGCACTCCGCCGCCGTCAGCGCGTTGCAGCTCAGCTACCGCGCCGCGGCCTCGGCCTTCCGGCCCGGCGAGGCTACGTATAGGCGGCTGCGGCTCAGCTGCAGTACGATGACGACTATTACTACGAAGATGAGGAAGAAGATCGGAGGACGGCGAGTCGGAATCGAATGTTGGACTCCGACGGGTGGGTCCCGGGGAGAGGGATACAGTGGGTGTTGATAGGGGACAGAGGGGCAAAGAAGCACTTGTACACCGAGAGGCTCTCGAAGCTTTTGGATGTTCCGCACATTTCTATGGGCACACTCGTCCGCCAGGAGCTCAACCCTCGCTCTTCTCTCTACAAGCAGGTCCCTTTTTTCTTTTCTTGTTCTTCTTGTTTTTACTACTTTCGTTTAATTGTGTTTTGTTTTTTACTCTTATTTTTCTTTTCTTGCTAAACCCTTCATTATTATTACTATTATGAATTATTGCCTTCTGATATAAACCAAATTAAACACCTTTTGATGGCGTTTATGTTTTTTTTCTTCTTTTTGTTTGTGGTAATTTAGATTGCCAATGCGGTGAATGAAGGAAAGCTTGTTCCGGACGAAGTGATTTTTGCATTGTTGTCAAAGAGGTTGGAAGAAGGATACTACAGAGGTGAAAACGGATTCATTCTTGATGGAATTCCTCGAACAAGAATGCAAGCTGTAAGTTTTAAGTTATAAGAAAATCTGAGTTACGTTCATGGTTTGTGATTGTAATTTCTGTGGGAAGTTTAAAACATTGCAATTTTTGTGAATTTTGGATACTAAATGTGGTTTGTGTTCTCTGAATGCCTTGATTTGTTTCTCTTGGTACAGGAGATTGTTGACCAAATTGTGGATATTGATTTGGTAGTGAATTTCAAATGCGCGAATGAGAACTTGGTGAAGCATAATCTAGGAACTGAAAGCTCCTCTGCTTGTCAGGAATATCTTAGCTTGAGCAACTCCATCCCCATGCGTAATCTAAATATGCAGTTGCCGGACGAACGACTGAAATCCTCCACTGCTGATGCAGAGCAGGTATCACTATTGTTCTCTTTTTTGGGGCTGAAGATAGTTGTTTTATGGTTTCCACTTTGTTCTGTTTTATATGTTAGTTTATGACCGTTGGAAAATGGAAATGTGAATTGTTGCTAATTGGGCGGTTATCCATTCCTCTCTTATCTCAGAGCAAGTCGTTGGAAGATTACTACAGAAAACAGAACAAACTCATCGATTTTCAAGTCAAAGCTGCGCCTGGAGAAACCTGGAAGGGGCTGTTGGCTGCTTTACATCTCCAGCATATAAATGCTGTCAGTTCTTCCCAGAAGCTAACTGCATGAATTAGGCTTCTTCTGGGTCTTTTTCGGCTTCCTTATTTTTATGCATTCCGGCAGAGTATAGTAAATATGTGAGATGTGAGAATTACAGAGTTGGTTGAATATTCAACTTAGTTTTGAAAGAAATTTTGGTCTTGTAAGTGTTATTTTATCGTGTGGCCTGCAACATTAGGGTGCAAGTTTGTAATGTAGTGAGTGAGAGATGAAAACTGAGAAGCAGAGAAGACCATGATATCATATTATCATCATATAAAAGTAAGCACTCAGCTAGCATAGCAGCTTGTTTTGTTGTATTTGGCGCAACTTATGAAATTTTAAAATTTTATCCATTTGGCTCAGCTTCACTAAAAGACTGATGGATGCTCCAAACCCTAGAAGATCAATTTTAATTGAAAATGGAATTCAACTACATTCATTAAAAAAATAAAAAAAGACACAGAGGAGAGACTATTTGAAGCCCTCATTATTTATTCATCTTTCAGAAAACATACAAATAAGTCCACTGTGGCTGCTAGAATTCACTAACAGTCACAAAAACAGTTTGCCATAACTTTTTATTTCTTTATTCTTAGGAAATCATCCTACAGGCACTCCATTATAAAACGTTTCATGAATCTATTAAAATTGCGGCTATTTTGTACAGCGACATCTAGATAGTGATATTGTGACCAAAACCGGAGCACAGATTTACAAACTCCAAAGGGAACAGAACAAATTATTCATCTATATACACGTGGGAACATATATTTCTACATATTAGGGCTACTCGCTATTCATCCACACATCTCGAAGGAGTTCGTATCTGATGGCATTTTGTTGGCTATTCCCCTTTGATACCCAGCTGAGCTTGGTTGCAACTGGTGAAGATCGGGAAGAATCTATGAATATTGAGGCCAAGGGTGAATTCAATTCATCAAGCTCATCATCACTGGTGTATGATTTTCTGAGCACTGAAGACCCACTTCTTCTCAGCTGTGATTGGCCTCCAACCTCTCCAATAATACTCGCAACGGAAGTCGTTGAGGGTGGCAAATAGACTGTACCAGCTCCAGTGCAGGGGACGTTTGTGACAGCCTCCTCCCCAACCTCAAGAGTGTCCTATATTAAAACAAAAGCCACCAAATTGGTTTTAATTTTACAGAGTCTACAGGTTTTTTGGGCTTATTAATTTATAATTATACTACTACAAATTCACCAGAAAACATGCAGCTAGTCTAAAAAATAAAATATTGTATAGATAGCTGATTAGCTCTGTAGAGACAACAGATTGTATAGCTCACTAACCTCGGATTCCAGGGCTTCAAGCACAACGCCAGGAATTGGGTCAGTGCAAAATTCGTCTGGTATAAAGGTGTCGAGAATCCTTTTGATCAGTGGTGCAGCAAACGCAGGGCAAACCTTCAAAACCAAAATTCGAGCACCATGAATAAGAACTGCAAAATACTGACTCTGGAATAGAGAGTCAGAGTCTAATGGAAGGGTCTGAGTTCTTGAGCTAAACCTCTTTTCTGATGGATTTACTTAAGAGCAAGTCCTTTGGAAGCATCATGAGATCACTCAACGCATTGAGGAGATGGAAAGACTTGAATGATTTATCTTGCCTCTCATCATTGTCATAATCGTCATTCACATCTTCAAGTGAGTCATCATCATCATCCATACCAAATAGGTCAGTTAGCCATCTGGACCAGTTCCCAATCTGATAACCATAAGACACGAACGGAGCAAATGTCAGAACTCCTTTCATAACAAAACATACTGCTTTCGTTCCAATGCTCATAACCATCTGATTTGTAAGGGATGTTCAATCGCAGTAAAAAATTTATGGCACAACACAAGTGTATTCTTTGGTCTCCAGAGATTCATGAGTAATCTAGGTTAAAAAAAGGGACCATAAGAGATTTTCTATTCACAACATTAGAAAATATTGACGGCTGGCAATTCAAAAACTAGACAGATATAGCAGGATCTTAGAATATATTCATTTATATTATCCATCCCAAAAAATCTGGCATGTCTGGACAAGAAAATCCTAATGTTTAACCCCAGGAAAGAGAAAAAGGCATGGAAGGTGTTCTAGCCACAAAGCATGAGGAATACGATAATGAGTTGACACAAAACCGAGCTTAAAAGACACCTGTTACCTGTAATCATGAGTTAACAGTTGTGATTTGACATATAAAAAGATAAAACTTATATCATAAATAGTTTGAGAGATACAATTTGTATAGCTTACCGCACTCTTCAGTTGTGCGCCAGCTCCAAAACTTGATTTCCCAGCTGGAATCGGGAGAACCTTCAAATCACTGATGGGGTCAGACACAGGATCGGTGGGGATCTCATCAGAAGATTCACGAAGAATAGCATTGAACATTGCCACATCTAGTCTAGCCACAGATTGCTCCATTACCTAGACACATAATAGATATCACGCAAATTGCGATGCTGTATTCAAAAGTATTCCATCAATAAAAAAATAAAGAAACAGAAACATCGTGAAACAGATTATTGAATATTTGAGATATTATTTACAAGCATCATATCATTTGGAAAAGAAGATATTTATTAATAACAATACGCAATGATGGAAATATCTGTGTGCATGGATATACCAATCTACCCAACAAAGGCAAGCAGCCACATTCATGTCCCCCAGCTCGTACTGGACAGAGTCTTTCACAAGCATCCCTGAAAGCCTTCTTCCAGAGGTCTAATGAAAAGTTACTTTGTTCTTGATCAATTGAACTAGATGTCCTTCTATAGTTTTTCCTCGACCCAGAGTCAATACCTTCTTCATTAAGTTCCTTTGCAGCAACAGACTGCATATGTGGGGTCAAAGTCTGAAAACATTACAGTGAAAGAATCAGATGCAAGACCTTCATTCAGTAAGATAGTATTGAGATTGTAGATTTGAAGGGAAACTCAACGAGGGAAAACAGAGGAAAACAATTACTCTGACCTGCCACCAGATAGATTCAACTATTCGGGAGAAGATCCACGATTCAATCTTCTCCAGTGTAGACATAAATGTATGTGGGTTATCGCAGTCACCGAAACTTCCATTTAAGAGCTTCATTCCTTCTTTCTTCCCAGAAGAGGGAGCCTTCCATTTTATTGGAGATGACACATTATTTTTTACTTTTGCAGCACCATTCCGGTCAATAGAAGACCCTGGAGACAGAAGTAGTTCTGGTTCCCCGGTAACCTGGCTTATTATTGTTCTCAACACAATGGAATTTGACAGCCAATATGTTAGCCTGTAATCAGAGAAAATTAAAATGAATGAGTCCATAAAACAATTATGAAAACTTCACTTAAACAATTAATAGATGCAGTTCTAAACCACAGTAAAATAAGCAGACAAGCTTCTTCCCCACAAGTACAATCACTTGGTTTGGTGCATCAAGCAGACCATGATTGGATTGGATTTATTCCAAATTTAAATTTTTAAATCTTGGGGTAGGACCCTTGAATGGAAGGTCCATGTCCTAAATGTTAGGCTTATGCAGCCAGAAACACATTTTCTTTTTCTTTTTTGGATCCTCATGCAGTAAATACACTTGAAAATTGAAACCTTACAGCTCCGAAAACTTTTGCTTCAAAACATCAATCTTGAAGGTTGATAAGTTGTAAATAAGACATAAAGAAAATATAGAAAACAAGCATTATTAAAATGTACCTTGGGACATCATTCCCACACGCTTTTGTAACCAAAACTAGTCCTGAAATAATACTTCTAGCTGCACTGGCCCTCCTAGAACGGGAACTTTCTTTGCAAGCATGAAGATACAACCTAGAAAGGCGCCGAGCCGGAGCATGGACCTTACTCATAGAACTTCCATGCTCAGCGACTACTGAATAAAGGGCAGCCTCGACAGCTGCAGCTTCTCTCAATTCTCCCTCAAGCAACTTTATCCTGTGTTCCAGCTGATGAATTTTGCTTTCTAAAATGACACTTCTTGTATCCCTAGGATACACCTTAGCATCTTTTCTTTCCTTCCCTCTGAAGCTTACTGCAACACCTGCACTTTTCTGTGCATCTCCCTGAATACCAGATTCCTTTACTTCTGCATTCTGATCATTCCTGTGTAATGCGTTCTTAGCCGAGTCAATAGCTGACCTAACGGACTTAACATGCTTTATATTTTCCTTCGTTCCGAGTGGATCTTGCTTTCCGTTAGCCTCATGTGCAATGAATGATTCACCTTCCCTCTGAGCTTGCTTTTCCTCATCAACATGTTGTCTTTCATCTCTGTTTTCTTGTTTCTTTCTTTCGCTGTCCTCTGTAGAACTATCATCACTAACTGTAGCCTCCGGGCAATCCCTGCCAATTCCCCAAGCTTTCTCATCATACTTGCTACTCTGTTGAATAACAGCTGTGATTTTACTTCCACCATAAACCTTGTCATTAACCTCGTGAGATAAACGCTCATGGCCATTGCTTCTCATGCTGGTGCGGGACTCGTCAGCCTTTTCATTCAATACGGATGCAGATGGAGAAGGGGCGGTCTCTGAACCAACAGCTTTTAGGATTGTTGAACTTGAGCTGGAAGAGTTAGCTACAGAAGCATTACCATTTACTGGGCTTCCAGGGTCAGAAGATAGGTCGACTGATGATGAGCACGATGAACCTCCCTTCATGAATTCATGTATTAAATTTGGTCTTTCAAGCCCTAGTTTTAAGGCTAAGGCATGCTTTTCATTTTTACCTTCAGTGCTATGAGGCCGTGTCTCTTCTCCAGTCTGCAATTCAGTGCCAAAGTGTTATATTACATATTACTGTCTAAGTTATTATAAAAAGGAAGAGAAATCTTGGTTATCTCTCATTTGCAACATACTATACCCATGAGCATGACCAATGCTGGAGTTTGTAAAGACTGTTGCAGTTACAATGACAAGTTTCCATCAAGAAGAGAAAAAATGAAAACTAAGAGAATCATTACCTCTTGTTTTTTAGGAGACAAAGTGCGATTTGTATCTAAAGCAGAAGAAATTGTCTGAGATGAGTGTGAGGAAACATCATCATCCGTAAAAGAGGCAACTTCGGCTTCCTCAACATATTCTTCATTCGTCAAGCCCGAAACAGATTCACCACCGGCTTTGTCCATTGATGCCCCTCTCGACAAGCTGTCCCCAGATGAGGAGCTAGTACGACCCTTCACAAAAGGCTGAATTTTGATAAACAGAACTGGTTGATCAGTGTTCCTAAAGCTCCTCTTACTGTTCATTGGAGCGCTCACGCTTATTGTCTCTTTCACAACGCCATGGTCAGCCAAATCTACAATGGCAGTCGCCAACAACTGACCTTTCGTCTTGTCCCTCCGAGGCTCATACAAGTGGAACTCTAAGCAATTCTTTTGAAATGCATCACCATCACCACCACCGCCACCTTTAACAGACATGTCCCTTAGCAGAGTCACAGGTAACCTGAAAGAATGGTTGAATTCAATTTTCCCCTCACCAACAACAGACCCAAGTGAGGGGACAACAGGGTTGGTAGACCCAGAATTGCGGTCGCCATTTTCCCATTGAATCAACACGGAACGGAGTGATCTGAGTGACTGTGATGGGGGCCAAGGCTTAATCTCATGAATATGGATGAGATAATCAATTTGAACCGTGGGGCCCCTGCGGTTCTTCGCCTTTACTCCTAGACCCATGGTTATGGAAATAAACAACACCCTTCTTCTCCAATGTGTTGATGAATTCTATTCACATACACAAAGCTTATACTCGCAGCACTTGGGATACCAAAAAAAAACAAAAACAAAACCAGAAAAGCATGTCACTCAATGATACAATTAGGAACTCCAGGATTATAAAATACAACACTCGTCACTAAATTGGTAATATCTGACCGAAAGCAAACTCATTCAAAGTCATTCAAGATCAAACACCGACAGTCGAAAAGATAAAGTAAATAAATTTAAAAGCAAATGTGACTGGAGTTTCAGCTCACAGCAAATTCGAGCATATGCTAATAATAAATAAGAAGAAATTAGCAAAAGAGAGCTTAAAAATCACGAACTGAGCTCATCAAGACAATCGCCATTAATAGTATGTATGCTTATGCCTAAGCAAGGGAATGCAGAGTTATCAGCTACTAGAATAATACTTGGAATTTGCATCAAAAGCGTCCGATGCACATATTTCAAGCTCAAAGCAAACAGATTTACCACAATGCATGCAATCAAATTAAACACAAATTGCAGATTAACAGAAAAACAAAAACAAAAAACTCAAAAAGTAGCTGAGTGATAATTTACCAGTAAAATTAGTGGCCCAAAAAGGAGAGAATGCGAGTGAGACGAGAGAAGAATCGTTTTGTATCGAATGGTGTACACTTTCAGGGACTGAGAGGCTCGGAGGCCGTCACTGAATGTGCGATTAAAATAGTAAAGAGCATTGAAAAAACAAAAAATAAAAAGTGAAGCTGACACAATAGCGATTTCAGAATTTCCATACTAATTTTATAAGAGCGATGAGAAGTGATTTTTCTCTGGACACGACGAAACGGCGTCGTGCTGGGGGAATTTGGTTCGGTGTTTTTATGGTCGATGTCGTCTTGACGTTGGCTGATGGGGACGCCTCGACTGAAATGCTTTCATCTATTTGGAGAGAGTGTTTGGCAGTCGCCGAGTGGGAAGCGAGTGACTCAGTCGGTGACAGTTGGACTCGGGTGCACTGAGCCAACCGACTCGAGTGAGCAGTCCGAGCGTGAAAAGCACGATCGCACGTGGGGGGTGATGATGCTCGTCGCTTTGTTGCTTAGTTGGCTGTGCTCACCGACACATCGCTGTTGTTTTCAGGCCCTTGTGTGAGTCAAACTGTCAAACACCACCTCCCGGAGATAGTGGAGCCCACGCCACCATCATCAACATAGCCGTTACATTTTGAGTTTGGGCCACAGCCCACAGCCCACCACCAACCTTCTAGAAATTGGAATTAGAAAGCCCGAGTCATTTTATAGTGAGGGTGTTATATATGGCCTTAGGTGAGGTGATATCTCTTAACCGTTAGATCAGACTAACCGATTTAATCCAATTGTTAACTAATTTGATCCAACGATTAAAAAATAGAACCTCACTTAAAGGCCATATATAAGACATCATTATAGAATTCTTGTAGAAAGCCCATATTTTATCTACTTTATTTTTAATAAAAAGAAAAGGCCCATTAATTATATAACACACACTAAAATTTAGTAATGAACTCAAATTAGTGAATGTTTATGTGGACCAGGTCTTTAGTCAAGACAGTGTGCTCGCTCCTTTACTTCATAATTTGATTTATCTACTCATATATTAGAGTAGTTTAGGATATCGTTTTGTCAAAGGAAAACATTGAATCTCAATTTTTGGCACAATAATTTAAGAATCTAACAAGAAGTGAGGGTTGAGGATCATAGAAGTGGAGCTAGACTTGGACCCTTCACCCGTCTGTCTGTCACCAAACTGCGTACTTGCTGGTATATGAGCTTAAACTCTAAGCATATGTATATTTGTGAAAGAGGAGGTAGGTTGAGCTGTCCACTTCTATCAAAGCAAACAACGGAGGGTTAAGGTTATGATATTGGAGAGTAGTGTGTTGGTGTTTGGTGATAAGAAAGAATATTATAATTCAGGTTGGGGAACACGACCAAACTTTGGTTAGATTCTCCTATTTATTTAACCTAATTTTTATGCAGAAGGTAACGAGAGAATAAGGAAACGAACACAAAATGTCGACTTGAGCGCAGAAATCAACATTATCAAACAAACTCTCGCTCTTATTTAATATTTTGGGGTAGGTTTAGGAGGAGTAAGAGATTAAATGAAACCCTTCCCTTGTTTTTTAAGATTTCAATCTGACTTTAATCTATCTAACAACCCAGTAATTTCTTATTTTTGGACGAAACCAACCCTAGTACCCCACCACTATCTAACCAACCAGTGTATATATATATATATATATATATATATATATATTTAAAGAGTATAGCCGACCGGCTGTACTCTTAAGATTCGTCGGCTACAGGTTTTAAATATAGTATAGCCGCTTGGCTATACTCTTTAAATATAATATTCATATATAGTATAGCCGGACGGCTATACTCTTTCATACTGTTTAAATATATACGAATATTTATTTAGCAGTATAGCCGTGCGGCTATACAATTTAAATATAATATCCATACAGTTTAAATAAATACGAATGTTTATTTAATAGTATAGCCGAGCGGCTATAATATTTAAATATATTAGAATATTTAAAACGTATAGCCGCACGGCCATACTCTTTAAATATATTCGAATATTTAAAAGGTCTGATCATGGCGCAAAACCAATCGGCGAATGTGGATCTCTTCGATGGGTATTTCCGACGAGCCGATTTGGACCGCGATGGCCGGATTAGTGGCAACGAAGGGGTCGTTCTCTTCCAAGCATCCGGTCCTTGCGCAGGTACTCTCGCTCTTCTTTATATATGTATATATGATATATCTATATCATAGTGTTATGATTGTATATTTATAATTGTAGTGGTTGATCGGGCTTTGATTAGATTGTTTTGAATTTTGAGTTCTTTTTTGGGCTGAAGTAGTTAATGTGAGCTCGGAATGTCCTAGTTCTCTGATCGGAGCTGACCGCTTTCATTTTGTATTAGTGTAAATGCGGAATTGATTTTTATTTTGTTAATTTTCTATAGTATAGTGTTCTGTTAGTGAGCTATGTAAGATACCCTTCCCTTGTTTTTAAAGATTTCAATCTGACTTGACTGGTTTTGCCTCGTCACACAAGTCTGCATATTACTTTATGAAAAAACTATATAGAAAAAGTATAACAACCTTGAACAAGATTTCAACCTAGTTTTTGGCAACAAAACAAGAAAATATTTCAACCTAGTTGTCTTTACAAGCCCACCTCAAGTATCATTCATTTTACAGGCCTTCCTCTTTTTTTCTTCTTTTTTTCTATACAAGCAGGAGGAGGAGGCTTCAGAGAGAATATCAGTTGCCCCATTGCACTTGCAGTCAAATTTACAAGTTAGGACGTAGAATCTGATCTCTGATCAGCATCAGCAGTGGCCTGGACTTGAGCTGCATACTGTAAGTTCCAAAGCACATCCTCAAACGACGGACGAGCTGACACTTCTGGACATGTACATTTTTTGGTGATAGATACCACAATTGATAACGACTCTTGTGAGCAAGTCGTCAATACGATTGGATCTACAATTTTTCTTCGACCATCTTGGCTGCCAAACGATGCCTGCTTGCGGTTCATTTACATTACACCACACATCAAAAATTCAGTGCCAGATGTAATGCAAGACATATGGAGACAAGGATTTTATGTTCAAAGTATTTTGATATATTATTCTACAAAATCAAAATTCATTGCAACAAAAATTTTTGCATACCATTTCATTTAGCAGAAATGTTTCCCCTTTTCCACTTACTATAGGTCCAACAAGTGACTCAAGTAGTATAAATCCAAAGTTGTAAACATCACCCTCCATATTTGTACTGTTCCTGCAAAAAAAAAATTTGTACATAACAGAATTAACTATTCATATTTAACTTTTGACATGTAAAACAGCAGCAATCTTATTCTGAACAGACAAAAAAAATTTCAAACACTTCCACTAGACTAAGTATGGAAGATAACTTAGACTATATAAACATGCTAATGGCATCTACAGTTGTATAAACAAAGAATTCATAACTACTATATAATATTTTAACATACTGGCAGAGGGGATGGGTATCTATCGACATTGACAAAAATAATGGTCCATCCATATTCCATGGTAATAATGCATCTAGTAGAAAGCTATTTTTAAAAAATATAGTTTACATCCATACCATGATTTCGTGCCTTCTCCCTTTGCCTGCAGAACAAGTAGAACGCATCAGAATAACCACTTGGAACCATACTATATGTCACAAAGTCAAAATTTAATGTAAGTCAAGAAGCATGCCTCAAGTTTTTCACTTTCTTCTGTGATGATGGACATCCCATAGTCACTCAGCTTTGCAATCCGATGCTCATCAAGCAATATATTGTTTGTTTTCAATCGGTTGTTGAAACAACCTGGAATAACCCCAGTATGTAGAAAATGCACGGCCTTCGCAACTCCTATTAGAATTGCCAATCTATCAGACCACTTGAGAACCTTCTCTGGACAGTTTTCTGCAAATATGTTCATAGATGGGTTAGAGTTTGACATAACACACACGCACACATGGTAGTATACACTTCCTAGTGGTAGAATACATGCACAAATAGCCTTGAACATACACTTTCCAGGTATAATGTAACTTTTAAGCTTCTTATAATGTAAATACTGACCTGACAGATAGGTACGATAATTCCCACTGGACACATATTCATTTATAAGGAAGATTCTGTTGCCACTGGAATCATCTTGTCCACCACTGTCAATGCAATAACCCAAGAGGCCAACCAAGTGAGGATGATGAAGCTTTGAGAGAAAATCCAGCCGAACTTTAAGGTTTTGAATTGAATATTTCTTCAATATAGTGAGAAATCGGATTGCAACATAGGTCCCGTTTTCCAACTTGCCTTTGTAAAGCTGAAATCAAAAGAATGGACATCGTCTTTAATGTGCAAAAAACCAAAAATAAATAAATAAAGACAAAGAAAAAGCAAACTTCAGACATGAATTTGTTCATATCAATTGTAACT